GGCGTGCGCTCGCGGGAGGGGGAGGGGGGGGGGGTGATGGGGAACCACTCATTGGAGTCGCGGCAATGAATGGCACCTATGGCATGGTTGAGGGGGCCATGGGGCCATGGCAATGCCGATTAAATTTGTGCTTGGAATCTTCTAAAATGTTATATTTTTTAGATTTGAAAAAAGGACAACGGGTATAATAGTAGTGGTATAAAGGAATATTATATAAATTTTGCACATTAAATTTTTCCAGCTGGAAGGTTTCCTCCTAGAAAGCCCCATGTGCGCAGCTCATCATCGAACTCAAATACAAACACGTTATCTGCATACACTAAACTTCAAATACAATTTTGAATATTAAATATATGTACAAATTGCGTTTCTCCCTTTTTACCGATACTACCAACCAGATGATGTTCACCAATGTTAACGAATCAGCATGGTCTTAGTTGTTCCTTCGACAGAAACGATGAAACCCGCCACGCAACATCATGTTTTTACACATAGTTTCTAACCATTTTCAGATAGGATTTGAAAATGCCCAGCCATTAAACTATCATCTCATCTTCCTCACCTCCCAGACGGCTGCCAACTTCCCCAACTAGCGACGCTTGATTGGACGGCAACACTGATTTTCTCCCACTCTTAATTTTTTTTTTTGAAAAGGAGGTTAAACCCCCGACCACTGCATCAATCGATGCATGCAGCCATCTTTATTAATTATTTTACAAAGGTTTGACAAGAATATACATCAATCCATCCGAAGCCACCATTCACACCTACAAACTCGATAATGTGTAGTGCTCTCACTCCCCATATCTAAAACCGGTGTCATCACCGATCCATCCACGTAACGTATCGGGACCAACAGTCGGTGCAGCCTACCTAAAGCGCACACTACATGCATACGTTTTAGAAGCGTCAACATCATCGGACCACTTACCCATCTTCAGGAGAGACATCCGCATCACCTTTGCCAGTCCGGACATCCGTCGACGCCACCAAGGCAAAATGGCGCCACCGTCCTGCGCTCGTCCATCCAGACGCGAAAAATCTGGAAGATCCGTCATGCATAGCACCTGTCAACCAGGCATGACTCAGCATAGCACCTGTCGGCCATGCATGACTTGACAGCGCCGCCAAAGCTCCATGCAAGACGAAGCCGCTCCACGTCCTGCCTCTGTCTTCCAGCGCTGCTCCACAAACGATACTCCCAAGAGAGAAACGACACCATAGTACCGCCGTCGTCCGATCTGGAAAACCAGATCTTAGGGTTTCCCCCGAAGCAGCACGAGTGGGTCGACAACAGTTACACGACGATGCCTTCATCAAGGTAACGGCGCAAAACGCCGCCATCGCCCGCCAACGGCTCGGTTTTCACTGGCAACTATGTCTCCCGACTCGTAGCCGAGACTAGATGACGAATCTCGAGATTCAACCACCCAGCCACAGGCCGGCCACCTCTGACGAAAGAGATGACCACCACCGCCGGTTGCACCGATCAGATGCCGCCAACGCGACCACCAGGCCCTCCACGCCGCTGCCGCCGATCCAAAGGCAGATGGCGCGCCGCCGCCGCCGTCCAAAGAGGGCAGGCCGCCGCGCCCGCAGCCTGCGGCGCCTCCGACGCCGCCGCGCCATAGCCATTACTGTCGCCAACACTGCCAACACTGCCGCCATTAGGACGCCGGCCGGCCGCCACACCGCCGTAGTCCAGATCTAGGCCGTCGTGAACCAGATCGGCGCCGCCGCAGTCCAGATCGGGGTCACACCCTCGAGCCAGGGCGCCCCGCGTCATCCTATG